GTACTAACTGCAACTCAGTAAGAAACAGCCAATCAGAGTCAAGAGGAGGTTCTTATCTCTCAATAACCCTTGTGCATACGTCAATAGTAGCACTGGGAAGACACAGCCTGGATATTGCCCTCTGTGCAACTCTGCTCAAAAATAATGTCTTGCTTCCAGCAAAGTGTGGGCTCTCTCCTCTTGGTTGGTTGTTCACAGTCCAGATAATTGCCGCTAAATTTCTTAGCACCAGAGAAGCACATTACAGACGTCACTGGCAAATGTTAGCAGCTGTTTAAAATCGAACAACTCAACACAGTCCATGTCTCCAAGGAAGCAATAGTTTCTCAACAGCCGAGAGCAAAAAGCGTAGGACAAGAGACTGGTTCTTACCAGGCTGGGGAGGCGGTGGAGGAGTTAAACATTTTTTATTTTATTTTATCTGTCTCCTACCATACTGTCTAATGTTAGCAATCTCTCTGAATTTTCTTTTTTGTTTTTTGGGGGCTTTTTCTGACACTCACCTTTGAGATCAATTTGGGAAGCACCTTTTATCATGGTTCAGATTTTATTGTGTCATTGTAGTGAGGGGCACTGAGCTTGGTCTTGGATTAGGTGGCCTTGACTCCAACAGTAGATTTATTTTTTAACTAATATCTACTGTTGGATGAATATTAATTAAGGAATTAATATCAAGACAATACCAATGTTTTGGTATTGTCTCTTTCTGAGTTGCTGCAACATAAATTTAACTTTTTTTTTGTTATGTCTAAAGTCAATCAATATGCACAGAAGATTTACAAATTTGCAGCCTGCAGTCCCTGTAGATAAGTCAAAATTAAAATTCAAGAGACTTGAAATGAAAAAGTAAAACACCTTTCCTTGGTCAAGCAATTAAGTTAAACAAATTCAACCTGAAACATATGTAATATTCTGTCCTTACTCAACCTCTCTTACATAAAAGTAGCTCAATATTTTTTCTTAAGAATTGAAAGAGGCCAGCACCGTTGGTGTGATTAATTCAAGTCTGAATTACCCGTTTCTGGCTGCGAGGGGACTTCAGCACGATTCATTTTTTTGTAAATTTAAATCTTCTTTTGCAGAACTTAAGGAAAAAAAAAAAAAAAAAAAAAAAAAAAAAACAAAACCTTAAATAATTTTTAAAGCCCATGAGATATTCCATTACTTTCTGGCCTTAGCGGTTTACAGTGCTACAGAATCACATGTGCAGACATTCGCAGTCAAAGTTGTTTTAAAGTCAAATGGATTGCAGCAGAAACCCAAGAAGCACTCTGTTTCTTACTCTGAGGATTAGGTAATGTGTAGAACAAAAGAGATATGAATAATTTATTGCCACTCGAATGCAGTGCAGTCATAGACATACAAGTGTTGGTTTACGTTTCTGTGTGTGAACCCTAAACACCTTCTGCTGAGATAAAGCGAAGACCCTTTTAAGGTGAGTAATTTGTCTTCAAAACACATAAAAGCCTTACTTGTGTTTCATAAAGAAAATTGTATTTATTATTTTTTTTTTTTGGTGGTGGGGGGGGGGGGGGCTTCCTT